CTTCACCACACTCCTGGGGGTTTTTACAGGTGAGGCATCTGAAGGTCAAAGAGTTATACAACTTGCTCAGAGTCACAGAACTACTAGTAAGCAACTAAAGTCAGATCCATTGGACTGTAAAACTTGGAGTCTTCTTATTTTTTCCTGTCTCTCAAATTAATAATAGGTATAAAGACTACACGTGGGTAAGATCCAGATGGTCATGCTAAATTCTAGTCCAGCTGCACTCAAGTATGTGACCTTGGATGAATCAGTTCATCTCGCTGAGTCTTAGTTTCCTTACCTTCATGATGCCAAGAATAATAGTACCTTTCTTATAGAGTTATTGTGAGTAAAATAATGAGGTAATTCGTGTAAATAACTTAACATGATGAGCACTCAACAAATTTTGGTTATTTTATTGTCATTTATACCACTACCACTTCTTGTCTACTCTTTGCTAGGTTCTGTGCTAAGCACTTAATGTGTGTTAACTTTTCCATAGCTCTGCGAGGCAGATTTTAGATCCTCATTTGCACAAGGAAAACAGGCTCAGAGGCGTTGAGGCTCTTGCCTGAGTTGAACCCAAGTCTGTCTAGCTCCAAAGCCTCTTTGCTTTCTACCCATACGCTGGCTGTGAATCCCTTTGCTGGACTTTTTGTGGTGATACGGCAATGACGCTGCCCTCAGTGATGGTGAGGTCAGTGTAGCTGTAGGTGTTTGCCCACTGAATAAGCAGCAGAACCTGGCCCTGGCCCTGGCCCCGGCCTGTGTGACTGCAGAAGCCTGACCACCCTCCCCTGTAGCTTAAGGGGAAACAGAAGCTTGGTATTTACGGGTCTGCTAATTCCACTTTTAGGAAGCTTGAAATTGGGAATACTTGGAAGAGATATCCAGAGTTGTTTTTTTATGTTACAGTTTTATGCCTCAGTAGCTTCCAGAAGGCTTATGGCCTTCCCAGTAACTTTTATTTCTAAAGTGTTCCTAACTCAGAATTAGTAAGTTTGGACAGAATTAATAGGGCACTTGGGGGCACAGAATAAATCCACCCCCCTTTTTCTGTTAATTTGGAAAGTCTCTGTGAAAAGTGTGGATTGTTCCAGCCATGTGGTAGAGCTCCATAAATCCATTGCTCATAAATGATAGGAACTCACACTTGCATCATTCAGCAGGATCATTCGTACAGTGATTCTTCTCAACAGAAAGAAGGAAACTTCATTTGATTTTCTTGAGATTACCTCTTCCAAACAAAACAGGTTTGGAATAACTAACAGAAGTGAAAAATTCGAATTGTCATCAGAATTCCAGCTTGGGCTTTTAGCATGGAGACAAACTCTTGGCCTGGCTAGAAAGTGGCCAGACAGTAGGCAGGCTTTAAACAGCTTGTATTTGTTCAAGTTTCAGAGTTAAATGAACAACAGTCATTAGGGGAGTGATTTTCCAGACTCCTTAACGTAAGTTTGTATCATCTGCCCTGACTTGGTCCTTTACAGAGGTGCCCTTGCACTCCGGAGACATGTGTAATCACAGTGGAGGTAGTCTTGTGTCTGTTACTCGACATTTTGTGGTGCAAGAGCGGCCCCATCAGAGCTCTTGAGCAGCCTGGGCCTGGCTCACAATGATGCCCAGAGAACTGGCCTTTGGGACTGTAGGTCTCACCCGTGGTAAAAATGTCCTAGAACTGGTTCCAGTATGGTCTCACAACCTCTCTTTTAAAGAAACCTACCAGTGTACAGAACGAACGAGTCTCCTGGGTTCCATGTCTCTTCCTGCTTGGCTGGGTATAAACATTATTTTGGAAGCAATTTTTCACGCATCTGCCAAAATCTGCAGCCTTTCCTCACAACCTATTCTTTGCTTCTCCAGCATTTCCTATGTTTTTTAGGTAGGAATATAACCTCACATTTTTGGTGATAGTTGAAATTAAAATGTGTATCCATTCTCTTTGTGCCCATTGTAATGTTGCCCAGGGAGCTCATTTCCAGTTACGAAAAGAGAAATAAAAGTTGAAGGCCAGGCGTAAGGGGGCGGAGGCCTATCACATATCTGAATTCATTTTCAGACGTTTTCAGCTAGGGGTGGCTGAGAGTGCTATACTCAAGGGCAGAGGAAGAGGGGTGCTAAGGGACACCATTATTTGTTGAAATCCATGCTTATCCATTCAGGGCATGGCTTCTGGAGTGAAGACTGGCTGGAAAAGCTGAGCCGAATGAGTAATGACAGCTGAGGACGTGGAGAGTGCACATGTGAGGAGCCTCAGCCCTACATTCCAGGTCCAGCCTCTCTCCTGCCTCGTTGTGCAGCAGGTCAGGAGATTTCTCCTGTGGCAGGCTCACCCTACTTACTATGCTGAGTTGACCTGTGTGCTTAGAAGTCATGTGAAGTGCCTAGCGTGGTGCCTGCGAGGCACAGATACTCACACACAGGAGCAAGGTTTAAATGTCAGTGATAATAGTGCACCATGAGGTGGTCACCTGGGAGGAGCCTTGCAGCTCAGCAGTGTTTGGGGGAACTCAGGAAAGTGGGGAGAAAGCCTCTTAGAGTCTGTGGTCCTTGACCTCAACAACAGCCATAGTTTCTTTTTGCTTCCCTTGTACAACTCAGGAGACTGCACATACGCATAGCCCCGGTACTTATTTTTAGGGGTGCCAACTCCTCTGGAAGCTAGGACGTTTCTGTGTTTTTGCTTTAAGTCCCCTTCTCTTCTTACCCCTTCGCCCCACTTGAACTCAGCTATGTTGTGATTCAGTTTATTTTGTTGAAAATTCAGTCCCCTAGGGAAAATATGATAATGCTGTTTTCAGACAGCTGTGTTTGGGAGCAAGACTGACTTAACCAGCTGGCTGGCATCATTGGAGCCCAAGGACCTGCCAGCCCATGGAGAGCAGCTGTTTTGGCTGAAATTGTCATCATTCTTATGACTTTGCTTCCTATATATCATCTTCAGAGTTCTGCTTTTAAATGCACTCACAAAGGAGAGAGGGCCATTGGAAAGAGTGTAGTATATCTAATGCTACCCATAGTTGAAAGAAGTGGGGTGCCCCCACCTTCCTGTTGTTACTCATGATTGTTGAGAAGGACGAAATCCAGGAGGAGGCTAGCTCCAGAGTGAGACATGATAATGAGTAGATCAATAAATATTGATATCTTAATACAGTGTGGTTGTTACACAACCATTAAGAATCATGTTTAAGGGGCGCCTGGGTGGCTCAGTCGTTAAGCATCTGCCTTTGGCTCAGGTCATGATCCCAGGGTCCTGGGATCCAGCCCTGCATCGGGCTCCCTGCTTGGTGGGAAGCCTGCTTCTCTCTCTCCCACTTCCCCTGCTTGTGTTCCCTCTCTCGCTTGTCTCTCTCTGTCAAATAAATAAATAAAATCTTTAAAAAAAAATCATGTTTAAGATTTTTTAAAGAAAGGAGAAATGTTGAAATATAATGTTAGATGTATAGGATACAGAACTGTGTAGATTATGTAATCCCAATTAGGGAAAATGGTTTTTTGACATTAAATGAGGTAACTCCTACAAAGCACTTAACCTGATACCTGGCATGGCAAACGCTCAGTAAATCACAGCTACTGGATGCAAAAACGTTCCCCACAGGGAACGTGTTTACCTCGTGAATTGTGATATCCAGAGTACTTGGTATGAAGTAAATGCTCAAAAGATCTTTCTTGACTGAATGAATTAGTGTTATCATTTATATGCATTTGAAAAGAAATCTAGGGGCTCCTGGGTGGCTCAGTCAGTTGAGTGTCCGACTCTTGGTTTCAGGTCAGGTCGTGCTCTCAGGGTCCTGGGATCGAGTCCCACATCAGGCTCCTTGCTCAGCGGGGAGTCTGCTTGAGATTCTCTCTCTCCCTCTCCCTCTGCCCCCACCACTTGTGCTCTCTCTTTCTCTCTCTCAAATAAAAAAATCTTTAAAAAAGAAAAGAAATCAAGAAAATCTAGGGATACAGCTTTCTATGTTATCTGTAATTATATCTATAAGTGAGAGCTAATCTCTGTCTTGGTTCTTTATTATAAATGGTGAGGACAGTACATCTTGCTCCAGGTCACTGAGAACTGAATGAGCCACATGTAAAACACACACAGTGACAAATCCCTAGGGAAGTGACATTGTGTGGTGGCTATGGTGATCATGGTAAGCACCATGTAAGTGTAGCTGTTATAATAATTACATCATGCTTGTATCTGTAAAAAGAAAAGATATTGTCACGATTTTTGTCTGTTGTTTTGTTCTTGCTTTTTTACCCAGGACTTTACTTTTTTTTTTTTTTTTCTTAAGTAAAAGCTTAAAAGAAAAAAGTGCATAAGAAAACTCAAATGCTTATAGTGGTTGTCTCTAAATAGTGGAATTAGAAAGTTTTTCTCTTTTTTTCCTAATGCTTTTCTACATTTTCCAAATTGTAGTATTGGTTACTTTTATCATCAGCCTTTATTTCCCCTTTTAAATGAGAAAACTCTCAACATCAAAGATGACACAGAGCTCCTGAACTAGAAAGTAGTCTCCATCTAAGGGTGACTGAGGACCAGGAACTGGTGCGCTGCTCTGGGCTTCTTCTTGGAAAGTTATTTAAATGCAGTTTCACGTTCTAAGAAAGTTGCAAAGCAATCATTAAGAACTGGTCAGTAGAACCAGTGAAGAAAAGTAAAGGGTTTTGATGAACTGGTTCTGGACAAAGGTAGTCAAAACACTCAAAGCCCTACTAATAGACAATGGCTTATATTTAGCACAGTTTGTTCCCTGGAGAGAACAACAGAGAGAGGACCAGTGAAAGTGACGGCAGAAGGGGCTAGAAATGGAAGTGAATGGTTGGCAAACTCCGAGAATCACTTCCGAAAGAAAATGTATAGTGCCAGTTCTGAGAGATGTTTCAAATGAAGTCCTGAGCTAATGCTGGTGGTCTTTTCGGGTCTTCTTGCTGATTCTTTGATACCACCAAGCTTTCAGTTGTGCTGGTTGGGGCTTGCTCTCCCACTCACAGCAGCGTGTAACCCTTCTATGCAACTTTACTTGCAGATATTTAACACCGTGCCTGATACACCTCTCACCAATGCCCAGCTGCACCTGTCCCGGAAGAAGAGCAATGACTCCAAGCCCCCTTCCTGCAGCGAGAGGCCCCTGACGCTCTTCCACGCCATGCAGTCAGCAGAAAAACGTGAGTCCCATGGCTCGGGGCCAGCAAGGTGCTCAAGAGATGTCCTGTGCCACCTCCCACCTGCTCAGGGTGCACATCTCCAGCCTCTCTGTGTGCTGTTGTCCTGTGTGTCCTTGAGGATGGTGTGTGGCTGGGCCCTCCCCAGTTTCACTGCTGAGTAAGCCTGGGTAGGACAGGAAACAGTGTGAGGAAAATGAAAGGCCAGGGCCACTTGCTGTGCAGGATTCTCTCTTCCAGATCTCCTTTGGGCAAACAGCTGAGCATTGTTTCCTCCTGCGACACAGTAAGAGTTCAGCTCCGGCATCACTGCCTTGGCCCCTCTTTGGTTAGCGGCTCCCACAGAAGCAGTTTCCTTTTCTCAGTTTGTCATTAAATGCTTATTAGTGTGAGTCACGTGCCCCACTTGAAGTGACTCTGAGGCCAGGCCCTGGCTTTTCTCATCTTGCTACTCCACCTCTTACAGAACCTGGCATGGAGTGGACACTTAATAAATGGGTGAACTTAATGGATGAATTAATTAGAGAATAACACTGTCTTTGTTCCAAGAAGCACAGTGTTATCACCCCAGTTTTACGGAGTCCTTTTTTCATGTCAGAATGGAGTTCTTTGCAGTTATCAGGTGACTGGGCCCTAAACTATTCAGGCTTGTTTCAGCTTCTGGAATAAGACAGCTGAGTGGTGTAGTGTAGGAGTTGAGGGCTCAAGCTCTGCCTGGAGTCCCGTCAGACCTGGGTTCTCGCGCCAGCAGCAACACACGAGCAAGCCTTTTACCCTCTTTCAGCCTCTGTTTGCTCATCTGTAAAGTAGGGATAAGATTGCCTCTCTTATAGGGATTTGTTAGGGAGTAAATAAAATTTTACATTTAAGCATCTGGCACAAGTCTTGGACTTGGCAAGGGCTGCTGGCTGAGAGCTGCTGCTATTATTACTAGTTATTGTTTAATCACGCGCAAATACCAAGGCTCATTCTTTCATACAGCTGACACTTGCATGTGGCCTGCGAGTGACTGGGAATATAAACATCAGACCTTGTCTGTAAGGTGCTCACAGTTGAGGGAGGGGAGTAGGTAGCTGAATAGATAGCGGTAAGTCACCGTGATCACCGCCCTCGGAGAGAGAAGTCCATTCACAGAGACTGCGGAACACGGACAGGTGCGAGAGCACGCCCTGGCACCACGTTGCCTGGCTGCTAGTTCTGTGTCTGCCGTCTCTGGCTGCACATGACGTGGGCAAGTCACCTAGCATCCCAAGGCCTCAGGCTCCTCTTCTGGAAGACAGGGGTGACAGTTTCTACCTCATAGGGTTGTTGTGCAGATTAGACTACTTCACATGGTACCTGGTGCAGAGTAAGTGCCCAGTAAATGCTGGGGGGATGTTGTTGTTATTGTTGCTGTTGTTAACCTTTATGAAGCACAGTAAAGATACAGAGCAGAAGAATGACTCACTTGACCTTGAAGAGGAGAGAAAATATATATGTGGATTGGCATCTTTTTATTTGTCACCAAAAAAACCTTTTTTTTTTTTTTAACAAAAAACGTTTTTTATCCCCTGTATTTCAGAAGTAATGGCCTTCATTTTCATTCTGAAAACAAATCTTCGCTGTCCCCAGACCATCACTGCATTTCAAGATGTCATACTGTCCCATAAAATGGCTAGACCTTGGTGAATTTAGCACCATTTGGGTTGTTTCAGATATTTAGCTTTTATGAGTAAAGCTACTGTTATCTTTGTAGCTAAATCTGTTCACAGGCATGATCATTTCCTTAAGCTAAATTCCTGGAAGAATTTCTAGGTCAGAAGATATGCACAGTTTCAGGGCTGTGAGCACTAGGGTTGAGTTCCCTTTAAACAATAGCCTGTGTTCCTCTTAAATATGTGGCTTGGGCCATTCTCACTTTGGTCTGCACCTGGCCTGGGTCCCTGAGTGTAGCAGGGAACACGAACAGGGCTGGTCTCCCCATATCTACCATGGACAAGAACGGCGTTGGCCTGTGGGGTGATGTGTTCCTCACGCTGCTAGGGGAGCCACAGTCACCTGGCGTTTGGTGCTAAGCAGTGGACAGTGTAGATTCGGACCCATCAGACAGTTACACTGAGGCAGAAGCAGCTTTGGAACGGATCTCAAAGCATATTCTGGGAGCATGTTAGAAAGAAGACAGAGATTAGGAGAAAATCAATTAGATCTTGACCCAAGATTAATTTGATCACACGAGGCAGAGGATGGAAGGTCAGGACATGTGAGAACAGACAGACCTAAGCTGAGGAACGAGCTGCCGATGTCTCTGTCTGCAGACAGCGGACAGGAGGATGGAAGACGAGAAGACAGTGAAGCAGCCTGTCTTTCCTCTGGATGTTATGAAATGCTCCCTGGAAACAGGAATGGAACCTCGGGTGTTTGAGGGGTGCTTACTAGCTTTCCTCCCTTTCTCAAAGAAGAAATGTTTTCATTGCAAAGTATGTAGGCAGGCATATATACATAGACTTTTATAGTTTGTTTTGAAAAACCTTTTTTTCCCCAAGAAACTAGAACGATATCCAAGCTGGCTTGGAAAGTACCACAGGATGGGTAGGTGACTGGCCAGGAGCTGGCGGGTTCTGCTGGCACCCCACCCCAGCTTGTAACCCAGCCACCCCTCACTGTGACATGAGCAGGTGACAGGGCACTGTTACGTTTTCACACACCTGACTCTTCCCTCTGTCTCATCTGTGGATAAAGACAGAAGGCTCCTTTATCAAAGCACTTTGCCGAGCTTACTCTGTAGAATTAAAGTACAAATAAACACGGCAGGTCATTTGTGGGTAAAAAAAAAGAAAAAAAATGTGTATTTCTGTAAGGTGACGCTTTCAGTTTAAGGGAACTTTCGACACCTAGCTCAGTTCCTTCCAAACTTGAATCATTTGCATAAACCTTCATTCACTCTTTGGTTGACAAACACATAACTCATATGCTGTCATTTAATACATTTCTTTAAATTGATTTGTAAAGTTTCAGTGCATAACATAGTTTCTAGTTTACAGTAGACACTTGATACACTTTTTTTAAAGAATAAGTAAACGAACCTGTAGACCAGTTAGATGATGATGGCACATGTATCCAGGATAACCATTTTTTAATGCTATGCTATGCTTGGATTAAAGATGCTAAGGTTGAGGCCTAGAAAGATGAAATTATTTTGCAGAATCATATAACAGAGAGAAGGCAATGGATTCAGAATGAGGTTTATTTGTCTGCAAACCTATGGTCTTCCTACAACATTATGTTACCAATTCTTGACAGAATCTGAAAGAAAGCAGATCGCAGGAGGAACACAGAGAAAAGAAGAGAATATGAAAATTAATTTTGCAATGTGTTTTATGTAGGAAACAAAGGAGAAGAATGTGGAATTTTGAAATTTGAGTCATTGGGAGAAGCTTGGTGCTATGAAAAGAAAGGAGAGACAATGAATTGCATTTGTGACAAAAGAAGTTTAAACTCCTGAGATTCTATATAACGTTTCCAAAGGTTATTTGGAAGAGTGATTCTAGAGGTACATCCTGAAAGTGAGCATTTGAACCCAAATATGGGGTAAAAATGCCAGCAAAGGGAATATTTAAGCTGGAAAAAAAATTTCCTTTCTGAGAATTTTTCTTTGTGATGCTCTGGCTTCTCTGGATATGCTGGCTAAAAGTCACCCTGCCCAGCTGGTCGTGAAGTCCGGTGCCGGCCATTGTATGGAAAACTTGCGTCGCTTCTGACCTCAGTGGTCTCACTAATCTCCTTTGACTGTGATTTTAGGCTATTAATTATCCTGTTCCCATTACCTATGTGAGAAGAGAATTACTTCTCTGTAATACCAGATCATTCTCTCTTTACATGTTCAGCTATGATTATTATGTGCAGGTATGTTCATTTTGTATGATTCTTCTGCATTTTTGAAGTAAATGTTCAGTCTAATAAAGTTGGATTATTGAAATGCAAAAAAAATTAATTTTAAAGCCACTCACTTCTTTACATGGCCTCATCCTATTCAGTAAAATCTCTAAAAACATGAATTTGATGGTCTCACCATGTTATTCTCAAGTATACATTAAAATAAATATGTAACCATTAAGATAAAGAATGTTCATCTGACATCTTACCTCCCACCTGTGAAATTTCTCTCCCCTTTCTGCAGTGTCCCTGCTCTGTACTAAAGGTGGAGCCCATTCTTTTGTCATAGACATGAGTCTGTGCCAACGTGCTTGGCCTCAGGCTGTCAATCGCCTCCCTCTTCAGGAGAGGAAGCTCCTGAGAGTCCCCTTGGGAATTCATAGTCTCAGTCTTCTGTCTTCGTACCTCCACTTCAGGCTCATGGAAGCATGTGACATAATAGCTGATGCTCCTGGATGTGTGTCTTGTTTTCCAGAAGTGTTTTTCTTTCTGTGTACATAGACGACTTGTGTCCCAGGTACCTCCATAAGATTCTTCAGCTTCAATCTATGGATAGTAGTAGAATCTTCTCCAGGTGACATTTTCCCTTTGCCTAAAGGTAAAGATGTCTTTCTGATGACAGTGGTGTCTTCCCAGAAAGAGACCTTTCTCCTGCTCTTTGCTGGGTAAGGACTTTGGTCAGCCCCAGGGCAGCGTGTGGCTCCTCAGACAAATCAATGTGTGGTAGAAGTGGGGCTAGGAATGAAAAGGGAGCAGTCTCTGAGATTAAACTTTGTGAAAAAAAAGAAAGGAAATTATGAGGGAGACACAGGGTTTAAAAAGCATCACAGCAACAAATGCAAGTCATTTGGAAACCACTGAATATTTTAGTGAGGAGGGGACTCGATATCCAAATTATATATAGCTGGTCAAGAAATGTTTTCTGAGAGGTAGAATTTTGAGTAAGATGCTAAAGGAAATGAGTCATAGTCTCGTCCACAGGAGAGAAGGATGACAGTGATGGTCTACAGAAGGAACATGGAATAGTCTTTATATAAGTAGCAGAGGGTAGCTCGGGTAGCTCTTGTCTCTAGAACTGAGGATTGTGGAAA